AGTGAAACCATTGGAAATGTTGTTTTCATTGTTCTTAGGACCAGTTAGGTCGTATATCTACCAGATAAGAAATCCCAGTTTATATTACTTGTAAGGGCTATATTTGGTACTAGCTTCTGCCCGCGACTTCGTACGCGGATCCTGTTGCTTATGCCAGCGACAACGTCGTCAAAATCGAAGATCTGAAATGTCTGATGTTGAATTTTAAGAGCCCGAGGACGGGAAAACAACGTGATGCGCGAGACGATTCGAGACGTTCCAGATCTTTCATTTTTGTAAGTCAACAGGAAATGCCCATCAGACTATACAACTTTTGCTAAGACGTCATTCCTATATATGCTATAGTGTCGCTGGGCTTTGAATGGAGTATAACTCCTTGTGTGTTACTAAGTTAATATATTGGTAATATTGTTTAGATCACGTTCACATGAGGCTTAAGTACTTATATAACAAAAATACTTCAGCGCAAAGCTTCCGGGTAAACTATGTTGTAAGTTGACCCGTCCGGCACGTGAACATAAAGATTTCTAGAACTGCCAACCCGGGAAAGAGCGACGTACAACTGACCATGCTAGAAACAACTGACACCGAGATCTACTCCAGCAACACGAAAAGTCTGCCCTTGAGCCTTATTAATTGTAATTGCATAACACACTGATACTGGGAATTGCGTTCTTTTAAATTGGAATGGTAAATTATTTGGTATTATGGGAATTCTGGGAATAAAGACGGTTTCTCCTGCACCGCAACCTGTTAAAATTTTAGCCTCGATTATATTTTGATGCAACTGGGTTACTTTTAGCCGAGTTCCATTGCAAAGTTGTGGTGGTCTTAAATTTCGGAGGAGAATAATCGGAATGCCAATTTTTAAACAAATTTCATGAGAAGGAAGTCCGGGCATATTTAAAGGATTTAAAAATTCTATCAGGTAATTAGTGACTTCTTGTTCATCGACCATTCTATTTCATCATCATCATTACAGCCCTTCACAAGTCCACTGCTGAACATAGGCCTCCCCCAAGTAATGCCACAAAGCACGGTCCTGAGCCACCTGCATCCATCGACTTCCTGCATATCTTACCAGGTCGTCACTCCATCTAGTGGGGGGTCGCCCTACACTACGCCTACCGGTACGAGGCTGCCACTCGAGAACCCTTCTTCCCCATCGGTTATCGGTTCTTCGAGCTATATGGCCGGCCCATTGCCACTTCAGCTTACTAATCCGTTGGGCTATGTCGGTCACTCTGGTTCTACTGCGGATATCCTCATTTCTGAGTCTATCACGCAGAGAAACTCCGAGCATAGCCCTCTCCATAGCTCGCTGAGCGACCTTGAGCGTCCTCATACGGCCAGCAGTGAAGGACCACGTCTCTGATCCGTAAGTCATCACTGGCAACACGCACTGGTTGTACACTTTAGTTTTCAGAGATTGAGGTATACCTGACGAGAAGATGTGTCGTAATTTCCCGAACGCTGCCCAGCCGAGTTGAGTCATTCTATTTATTGAACTATAAACTTTGCTTTCCCCCCTGTATATTCGACAGTATTTTGTTATTAATCTCAGATGCCTGGTCATTGCGGGGAGTTAAAATGGATCTTTCGCATAGCCAAGATTTGTCCCTATTTAATATATTTGTTACGTCACCGTAAACCGACGATATAAGATATAGTATGGGGATAAGGTTGGGATTGCACTATACAAGATAACTCAGGCGTCAGAATAAGTTTTCCTTGGTGTAGTTGTGGATAGCTACCTTCACCAAACTTTAATAATTTATCAGAAAATTGACGATCATCCGGGTTATCTCCAGTTCTCACTCGCATGTTTATAGTCAAATGTACCGATTGTATATCACGCCACAAATAAGAGCTTTTTAGGCAAGCCCTAACCTCATCAGCTCGGGTTCCCCGTGGTATTACCGGTAAGGTTTGTCGGAAATCACCACAAAATAAAACCGATCTAAATCAATTGGTATTTTAAACATAGTGTGAGCAGTTTTACCTTCTGGCAGCAATGTTGCAGCTATACCTGCTGAAGCCACGGCAAGAGCAATTTTACGCTGATTTCGAACATAAGCTAATATTAATTTAGTCAAATGTTTTCCCAGTTCCTCCAGGTGCATCTGAAAACCATATTGTTCCCAAATTATTCTGAACACTCTCGCAAACGCGATCATAGACTGAACGTTATTCTGCAGTCATCATTGGGACACCGTTTTCTAATGTTGCCAGCAGTTCCATTGAGTTGTAACCAATCTCTGCGGAACATTCCCTATTGGTAACCTCTCCGACTGAGGTTGGTGTTGGCAAACCATATTCACAGAGTGATTTACCGCCTACTGCTGTTAAGTCTTCCTGAAGAGCTAATAAGCACAGATTTATGGCAAGATCACGGAAATTATCATTAGTTGCGCCTTCATCATTGTGAGATATATTCCGAAGAAAGTCTTCTGCAAATTTTTCTTTATATTTTTCCCATAATCGTACAGCATCTGACGAATGACAAGATGTGAGTAATGTTACAAATAAATGGCGTAACAGTCGTGGATTATCACTAACATAGGATTCTGCTAAAGCGTCATCCCAATGCTGATCATTTTCAAGCAAACGACGTGCTTGGCAAGCTGCATGATAAGTTGGATAAAAAACATCGTCTACTTTTCTCAAATCTATAAATGATGTTGGTCCTCGCACTGTATGTAATAATAATCGCAAATAGAAACACTCAGCGTTGTTAGGATGAACGGTATACACTCTACCAAGAACATGTTCTTTGAAAATACCTGACTCGCCATCTACAGGCCTGCCACGGCGTCTACGATTGAAGACACCTCGTTGCTTATCGATGGAACTTCCTCATACAAAAGAGATTTTGCAAAATCATCAGTTTGGCAAAGTCAAAAGAATACTAATAAAGTTGTTTGTCTAGGGTTCTCTAATCGTTCTGTAACATTTTCAGCGTTGAAATACATACGTTGACCGCCTTCAAGATAAACATCCAGATGAGTCACAGGTGGATATCTTTCGTGAATGTTGAAACTTAAGATCCGCCACACAGTTTCTGAAGACCTAATATATCTGCCTGACTGAAATCTAGTAACTTCATCATGTTCATTTCTCAACGCAAATTTAGCTTGGTCACTGCCCTTGTTAATACACTTACAAATATATTTTATTGACTCTTCACTATTACACATTTCAACATTTATGTAAGCTTGAAATGCGACAACACAGGCGAATACGGAACGACCCACCTATTATCTAAAGTAACCTGTTGTCCAGACACTCGATTTTCAACAGTAAAACCACCATTGTCTCTTGAACGGCGACGATATAATGGGTATCCATCATGTCCTGTTACAGTTTCATCCACTAATGCTTTTGGATATCTTTTAGTGCAACGACCGTCTTGCATGCAAGGAGCATTCCCGTTAAATGCACCACATGGACCATGTATCATATGAGTTTTAACAATGTCGTATAACACGGGATCTGCAATTGGATCTGGATTTTCTGCACTGATTGAACTGTCTACATCATTGGGTCGAACCTTATCTTTTAACCAAAGCAGGATATGTGCGTGAGGTAAGCCGCCTTTTTGCCACTCAACACTATACATATAACACAATACATCTTCAAAAATGTTATCTTTTGTAAGTAGATCTATCATTGATTTTAATTTTAAATGAAACACTCTTGTGATAATATCATGGCGGTCATGCGGTGCTTGACTCTCAATAAGCTCCCGAGTGATTTCATCCCACTTGGGATTGGTAGTTACAGTAATAAATAAGTCGGGACGTCCATATTTTCTTACGTAACAAAAAGCATCTTGAGTACGTTCGTGCATGTAGCATGGACCACCAGTAAAAGAAGAGGGTATAACTAAACGGCACATATTCACCGTATCATTATCTTGTTACATGGCGTCGCGAAGGTGCACGTATTCTTCAGCGCGCAGCTGCTTATGATTAGATTGTATATAAACTAATCTTTCGGTTTCAATTTTTGCGTACATGTCAACAATAAACTGATTGAATAAGCCACGAAAACGTTGAAAGTATACAAATCTATTCCATCTCACTTGCAAGTGGTAACAATAAAATTGAAGGCATGACATCTTTTTATTATAATTAGGTGCGCCTGTACGCTGATCAGCTTGGTATAATGCGTACCATCTTCCCCTCGAGAGTAATCAAAGGATATTGCAAACTGTAAGCCCTGTGGGTTTCGTAAATACGTTGCAAAAGATTGTCTCTGGAACGGATAACGATATCACGCCTACCACATTCCTGGTGGACCAATAAATACTACAGCACTTTCATTCGTGAGTGGAACGTTATAACGCCCAGGGTTTTCCTGAGTTGGACGCCTATCGGCATTTATAACAATTTTATAATTGTTATCACCATTTTGAGGAAGAGCTTCTAATGCCGATTTAAAACTGCATACATACGAATTAACCTGATGCAAAATGTTCTGAAGTTGTGAAATAAGTTCAGTATTTAAATTCGGGAAATATTGATTTCTTATATTCGACTGTTCGTTGTAGTCGGATACAAAACATATTTGAAGAAACTTAGGTTGGTCTTCAGGCAAAAGGGATCCTATCAAATGGTAAACCTGACCTTGTATCTTAAAAGTAGGCATGAAAGGACCTTCTGAGATTTGTTGAGCACCAAAGGATGTCATTTGAAACGCACTATTATAAGTGCGAATATTGTCTAAGAACTGTTTAGATTGCACATGTTCTCCTAAAAGTAGTGACTTCAAAGGTTCCGGTAGATTTTCGAACGAAGGCAAATTTATTTTACCTCCAGAACAACAGAAACCAGCCAACTCCTTACTCCACTTTGAAGCATTACAAAAAGATTATACTACGTTCATATCGCCTGTTACAGAAGATGATCTGTAATCAATTGTGAGGTTATAAGCAAACCCACTTTTATATTTGTCGGACCACGCCACCGAATTTGTAGATTGATCTTCTATGTGTACATCTAAGTCATTAAGACTATCTCGAAATCTGTCTGCAGTAAGACGGGCCTCTCGCTGTTCGTCCGAATATTTTCAATTCTTAATCTTTCATTAGACAAACTTATTAATAGTTCTTGTCTCAAAGAATTGTAATATTCGCGTCCCGACTCTAGTCGTTGTTCATGCTCATGTTCATCTTCAAGAGATCGAATAATATTATGGTGCACCCTATCATTTGTCAAACGGTCTTCATATTGAGTAAAAGTTTCAGATTCTCGAGATAAAATATGACGTTCGCGATCAGCTGTGAGACGTAATTCCCTCTCAGTGTTGGTTTTGGACTCACGGGGTAGTACATGCCGTTCGCGATCAGTTGTGAAACGTAATTCCCTCTCAGTGTAGGTTTCGGTCTCGCGAGATAATGTATGCCGTTCGCGATCAGCTGTGATACGTAATTCCCTCTCAGTGAAGGTTTCGGACTCACGGGATAGTAAATGCCGTTCGCGATCAGCTGTGAGAAGTAATTCCCTCTCAGTGTAGGTTTCGTACTCGCGAGATAATGTATGCCGTTCGCAGTCAGCTGTGAGACAGAATTCCCTCTCAGTGTAGGTTTCGGACTCACGGGATAGTACATGCCGTTCGCGATCAGCTGTGAGACGTAATTCCCTCTCAGTGTAGGTTTCGTACTCGCGAGATAATGTATGCCATTCGCGGTCAACTGTGAGACGTAATTCCCTCTCAGTGTAGGTTTCGGACTCACGGGATAGTACATGCCGTTCGCGATCAGCTGTGAGACGTAATTCCCTCTCAGTGTAGGTTTCGTAATCGCGAGATAATGTATGCCGTTCGCGGTCAGCTGTGAGACGTAATTCCCTCTCAGTGTAGGTTTCAGACTCACAGGATAGTACATGCCGTTCGCGATCAGCTGTGAGACGTAATTCCCTCTCAGTGTAGGTTTCGTAGTCGCGAGATAATGTACTCGTATGCCGTTCGCGGTCAGCTGTGAGACGTATTTCCCTCTCAGTGAAGGTTTCGGACTCACGGAATAGTACATGCCGTTCGCGATCAGCTGTGAGACGTAATTTCCTCTCAGTGTAGGTTTCGTACTCGCGAGATAATGTATGCCGTTCGCGGTCAGCTGTGAGACGTAATTCCCTCTCAGTGTAGGTTTCGGACTCACAGGATAGTACATGCCGTTCGCGATCAGCTGTGAGACGTAATTCCCTCTCAGTGTAGGTTTCGTACTCGCGAGATAATGTATGCCGTTCGCGGTCAGCTGTGAGACGTATTTCCCTCTCAGTGAAGGTTTCGGACTCACGGAATAGTACATGCCGTTCGCGATCAGCTGTGAGACGTAATTTCCTCTCAGTGTAGGTTTCGTACTCGCGAGATAATGTATGCCGTTCGCGGTCAGCTGTGAGACGTAATTCCCTCTCAGTGTAGGTTTCGGACTCACAGGATAGTACATGCCGTTCGCGATCAGCTGTGAGACGTAATTCCCCTCTCAGTGTAGGTTTCGTACTCGCGAGATAATGTATGCCGTTCGCGGTCAGCTGTGAGACGTATTTCCCTCTCAGTGAAGGTTTCGGACTCACAGGATAGTACATGCCGTTCGCGATCAGCTGTGAGAGGTAATTCCCTCTCAGTGTAGGTTTCTTACTCGCGAGATAATGTATGCCGTTCGCGGTCAGCTGTGAGACGTATTTCCCTCTCAGTGAAGGTTTCGGACTCACAGAATAGTACATGCCGTTCGCGATCAGCTGTGAGACCTAATTATCGTTGTGAAGCAGTTTCAGCTTCTCGGGATAACACATGTTGTTCTCGGTCAATGGTAAGCCTTAGCTCTCGTTGAGAAGAACTTTGAGACGCCCGTGATCGCATCTCTCTTTCTGGAGAGCTTTCATTGGCTCGAGAAGTTGAAGCACTAACTCTCATAGAGTTTAACCGATGTGCTCTTTCCTCTGCCGATTCTTGAGAATGCACATTTCTCATTCTCGTAGCTTCTCTCGAATTTCGAGATAAAGATAATCGTTTTTAGGTGGCATTGTGTATTTTATTTTTAATCGACGGCATTCAGTTACCCAACGAAATAATCTACGTTAGAGGTCCTAACTATAGCTACCGTACACTTAAAAAATCTAAATGCCTACTAAAATAATAAAACGGATTCTAAATGAATCCATAAATCCAAAAATATATAAGTAGGTACCTAAACTGCGTCTAATAGAATAAAATAACCTATTTGATACCTAGGTACCTATTTAAAACTACAGGTAAATAAAAAAAGTTTAATTTATAATTAAGCTAATACTAAGAAATATTTAAACACTACCAAAATAACTAATATCTACCCATTTAATAAAATAACAACCAAAGAAATCTAAAAATAAATTATTAAACGTAAGAGTAGACTAAAAGTGGCACTGATAATAACGGTTTGTTAAAATCAATTATTGTCTGTCAATAAGGTCGAACACTCTGAACGTCTTTTCGCATCAACAGCCAAATATTGTATGAAGCTCGCACTCTTTTTTTTGCGCCCGAAGCAAATATGGGCAACCCTCCGGAAAGCGGGGGAAGGGGGCGGTGAATGCTCATAGCATACCACGCAGCCGGCTGCGTTGGTTATCTGGAGACTTTTACCCACTAAACACCGCCTTTATGGATTGGCTTACCGATCTGACGAGAGATCTCTAAGCCGTATACGAACGCGACCCTCCTTGGCAGAAAGGAGAGCGCACCAGCTCGCACTTGGACCCCCCCGCCTTTTTATACCTCTCGCCGCGAGCCGCGACGAGCGCGGCGACCGTTACACAAAAATAATCCTTATAGCATGATTCAGTATTCACGCGCGATGGCTTATTAGCGTATTACATGTATAACTTTGGTGTTTCTATACTGATTTCTACGACTCTTTTTTTATTGAATAGATAATATGTTGTTACGCGCTCAAGTCGACGATACACTAGCGCCATCTAGTGTCAGGAACGACAGCGAGGGGAGCTTTGCAGAAAATGACATCACAAATCTCTCAACCGACAGCACCATCCGAAGAACTAAGTTTCTAGAAAATCTACACTCGCACACACGTCCCTTTGCGCGCATTTACTTGAATATTCCGGACGCTTCTTTGCTAATTTAAATAAATAGGCGCTGCAAGATGCGATCGAAGTAGTATTGAAGTGGCGAAACAAGCGAAGCTTCGGAGCGGAATAAAGTGAATTAGTGTGTTTAATTATTAGTGTTTTTAGTTTTAATTTGTGTAAAGTAAATTAAAGTGTTAATTTAGGTAATTTTATCGGCAAATTTTTATTGTCACGAACCTCAAGCTCGTAACAATATGTTAACTTTTTTTAATTAGGGATGAGTGAGAGAGTTATAAACGTAAGAGTAGACAAATATAATCAGAAAGCTCCGAACTAAGCCATCGGGATTTACACGTGTTATTGTGAGTCAACCATAAAAGATAGACGTATGCTGTCGTGGGATATTTTTATATTTCCCTTTCCCCCAACATTTCCCTTCTCTGCTCTGCTCCTATTGATCGTAGCGTGATGAAAAGTATACTATAACCTGCCCAGGAGTATGAAGAATGATTGTACCAAGTTTCGTTAAAATCCGTCGAGTAGTTTTTGTTTCTATAACGAACATACAGAAAGACAGATAGACAAAAATTTTACTGTTTGCATTTTTGGCATCAGTATCGATCACTAATCACCCCCCTGATAGTTATTTTGGAAATATATTTCATGTACGGAATACAGATTTATTACAAGTATAGAAGATTTACGTCTAACGGTCTCGTGTCATTGTTATGGGACGACGTTATTATTACTATGTCAATGAGCGTGTTCGCGTATAGGATGTAAAACGCAAAAAAATCTCGCGCGAAAATACAGCGCGTTCGCGTATTGACATAATGTTTTATAATTTGTTTAAAGTCAATGAATGTATTCACATATGTAAACATATAATATCATCTCAAACATCGTAAGTTACCTATGGAATATATCAACAATAAAACTTAGTGCCAGGTACACATATGATTGTGAAGGTAGAACAATTTAAATATCTTGTACACCTGGTGACTTTTAACCTGAAGGACGATGCATACTCGTACATTAAAAGAATGTATACTGTGATAGAGCTAACATGATTGGTAACAAGTAGGTTTGCTCGCTGTTTAAAGGATGTTCAGATCACTCTCTTCAGAGCGCTTTGTGCATCCATCTGCGCTAGCAGTCTCTGAATGAACTGCACCAACACTAAATCAGTAAAGAGGTGCTGCTCGTACTGACTCGGTTCTGCAGTGCATCAGGGATATTTGCTGAATGTCGCATAGTTTGTTATTCCACAACTGTGCGTTAGCAGTACACCCCTAGTATACTGTACTGCTTGAAGCAATTTTTTGCATAGTATACTGAAGCAATTTTCTAAATCAGTACGTGAACCATTACTGTAGACCACGTTTACTTTCCGCCCAGACGGGTTCCCGTCCTATCGTGAACTAAGAGTACCGCACTTGACTAGCCCGTGGTGTAGAGCCGACTCAAGGTGGCCACTCCGAGTGGTCTTGGCGAGCCCACTTCGGATGTGTGTTAGTGGGCTGCGGTGAGAGGGGTGTCCTCTCCCCCTACCGCTGCAGGCAAATTTTGGTTGACGGTGGGGCCATAGACTAGATCCGCCACTGGGGTCATGAAGGTTAGTGCTCGTTTTTCTCGACCTCATGGCCTTCAAGCATCAGTCACGGGGGCGTCCGGTGCGCAGGTGAAGTTAGAGGTCGTAAAGGAAGGTGCACCTTGTGTTCATGGTGCGCCTTATCTGAGAAGCAAAAGGGGTGGAGTAATACTCGCCCGAGGATGGGCTGCCATGAGGCGGCCGGCGCTGAGAAAGTGCGGATGAACGTTCCCGTGGTCCTGCTAATATGCGGCGAAGTAGGAACGCCATGGGGTTTTACTCGGTGCGAGTCCGACATAACCTGTTCTTGCCAGTAGTTAGGTTGTACCATAATGATTTCTAATATCTACGCGAACACTACACATTGAAATAATACTAATTTTTACGGAATTTATCGCGTATATTTAACTTTTTTACCCGACGTTTCGAGAGCTTTACAGCACCCATGGTCACGGGAAGGACTGAGATGTTCAACGTCCAGCTGTCATAGTTAACCGCGGTTACCATAGATTAAAATTTAACTTTTGTTCCGATCTACACAGTATGAACTTATGGTATCATGGAGTCTTGCAGTTGTATGCTTGGGTTGGGATTTAATTTTATTTATTATAGGATCCCAAGCAGATGGTAGCACCCAGCCATCTTCTCTATTGAAATTAGGATGTTTTTTGATTTCAATAGCCTCGCGAATCATCCTTGGAAGGAATCGGTGTTCTTTAGCGAGGATTTGTGGTCTATCAAATCTGATGTAGTGACGGGGGCGATCCTGTACATGTTCACAGACTGCAGACTTCCCGGAGCGTCGATTCTTCACATCAGCTATATGTTAAATAAAATGTTAAAAAAAAATAAAAGATCAATTAAAACCCGCGTCAAAGAACATATAGCTGATGTGAAGAATCGACGCTCCGGGAAGTCTGCAGTCTGTGAACATGTACAGGATCGCCCCCGTCACTACATCAGATTTGATAGACCACAAATCCTCGCTAAAGAACACCGATTCCTTCCAAGGATGATTCGCGAGGCTATTGAAATCAAAAACATCCTAATTTCAATAGAGAAGATGGCTGTGTGCTACCATCTGCTTGGGATCCTATAATAAATAAAATTAAATCCCAACCCAAGCATACAACTGCAAGACTCCATGATACCATAAGTGCATACTGTGTAGATCGGAACAAAAGTTAAATTTTAATCTATGGTAACCGCGGTGAACTATGACAGCTGGACGTTGAACATCTCAGTCCTTCCCGTGACCATGGGTGCTGTAAAGCTCTCGAAACGTCGGGTAAAAAAGTTAAATATACGCGATAAATTCCGTAAAAATTAGTATTATTTCAATAGGTTGTACCAGTTCTGGCGCACTTGTAGAAAGGTTGTACCAGTTCTGGCGCACGTCGTTCGTCGACTCACGATCCTAAAAAAAAAAAATAAAAAAAAAGGTTTTGGCATGCTCTGATCACGAATCTGCGGTCCATTTTTGCGTAGGATGTACGGTTCCGGAGATGTGCAGATCAATTAACTCTTATCTAATTGACATCCGCTGCGAGCCTCAACCGTCATTAGCGCTCCATTGTCCTTATCTACTTATTATTGTTGATTGACTACCGTCCTTATCTATTATTCGTCAGCGTGTGGGTCGGCTTATGCTATTGTATTATACTCCTTTGTTCCTCTTTGTAAAATACAAAATCTTATTACTTATTATCTATAAAATAGGAGCGAAACATCTCATCCACTAACATATCGTTGTACAATGTGTTCTCTGTAAATATACGCGTAAAACTATGCATTGAACATCCCTGAAACTTATATAGCAAATACATTAAGCAATATTCGCCACAAACTGAAGTCCTATCAACATTCCAGTTCCATCTTTTAAACACATTACCTAATTTTGTTAAAATTTTTATTTATAAAATACAAAATCTTATTACTTATTATCTATAAAATAGGAGCGAAACATCTCATCCACTAACATATCGTTGTACAATGTGTTCTCTGTAAATATACTCGTAAAACTATGCATTGAACATCCCTGAAACTTATATAGCAAATACATTAAGCA